AGAATAAAGTCACAAAAAGCCACTCATGGCCATTGTTAAAATAATCACCAAAACAAGAAGAACCATTATCAATCCACAGTTTCCATTGACAGCACCTATGTAGGCTGATGTTTTTGAATGGTGCTGCTGTTTTCACAAATAAAGGAAATGGCACAGCCAAGAAGAACAGCAATCAACCAAGGTCCACCATCAGTGCATGTGTATGTAAAAAATCAAGTACCAAGCCTTTTTCTGAACCAGCCATGGTGGAGAAAGTGGCTGCCCAAGTGAAAGCCATGATGGGTGGCAGTTTGGCCATCAACCAGAAAGTCAGCCAGGTCACTGACCTGTTGGAAGCCCATGGGTTGGCCCACAGAGTGCTCATGAAGCCATCACAAGTTCTATGCCACCCTGACAACAGGGGTGGGAGCATGGTGTCCTACCATGATGCTTGGACCAAGGGCAACGCCATGCTGGGTGTTGGAATCCAGGTCAGCCTTCTGCATGGTTCCATAGCGATAGAGATGTCCAAAGATGAAGCCAAGAGAAAGGTCCAGGTTTCCAAGAATGAGCAGTGGTTTCATGAAGCCAATGGCCACCTTGCACCTCTCAGTGGCCAGGAACGCTCCTTGTCTATATTTCAATGGTTTATATGAAACCATTGTTTTGAAGCTGCCATAAAGACAGCCATACTGCATATACTGATTTCAAATGTGTTGGCAATACAATAAGTTTTTGTTCATCACATGGCCCATACACTGCCCAGGCTATTTGTCTTTGAGTTCCAGCCACACTGTGACCTTCTTGAGAGCCATGGAACACCATTGTGTTGGACCAGCTGGAAGCCAGCCTGATGTCCCCAAGAATGACCCAGTCTGGAAATGCATTACAGAGGGATGGAGCTGGGTGGTGGTCTCCAATGAAATGGAAGACCACATCCCCACTTTTCCCAGCCGGGTGCAAATGGCTTGAATTCTTCCAACTCAATTGGAAGACCGCAGACTGAGCTGGAGTTGGCCACTACAATGGCCACATTCTTCCAGAATGGTATGGACCTCAAGGAAGCCATCACCCAGGCCAAGCAAGGGGACATCAAATGTCAACAGAGCCTCCCAGCTGTTGCCCACTATGTCCAAAGATTTGCTGGAGGCCCCAACTTTCCATTGATCCATTTCTTGGGCAAATTTGGCAAGCTGATTGGTGGCACCTTGTTATTGGGAGGTGATTTCTTCCATGCTTTGGCCCACACTGATTTCAAGGTCAGTGGCCAAGTCTTTCCCATGGTGAGAATGGGTCTGTGGGCCACCATGCTGACCAACCCACAAAAATGTCAAGATGGGTTCGCCAAAGTGTTCACCAAGGCAGACATTGAAAAACTCAGAAGCCACCTGTCCATTGAGAAAACCAAGCAGGCTGAGACCATGTTGGCCAAAGCTTGGGAAACATACCAGGAGTTGGTGACCAAGAATAGCCAAATGGAGCTCCACTACACCAAGTGCTTTGGTAAGTTCACAGTGGGGCTCTTGTTGTTCCTCACCCAGAAGCAAGAGGTGTCCAAGGAAGCCAAGTCATGGGACTCCATGGAGGACATTTTGAAAGCCTTCACTGAAGAGGCTCAGAACCCACCTGCTTCATCTTCGACTGGCCCAGGGGAGCCAGCCACAGCAGGCCCTTTGGAAGTGAAGGACGTGTTGAAAGCCAGCCCCAAAGAGATTGCCCAACTCCAAAACCAGCACTTGAAGATTGGCTCAAGGCACCTTGGTATGATATGATATGTTTGTTGTTTCCTTTTTTTGTTGACATCTTGCTGCTTGGCTCAGCTATGTCAATTACAAAGAATATGGCACCCAGGTTTGGGAGCTCAAGAGCATTAATGACCAGCATGCCATCTTTGAGCACAGTGCACTTTTTGAGCATCCACAATCCTTGGAAGTGGACCATGAGGAGTTGAAGAAATGGAAAGCCACCAAGACTCCAATGCCAAAGCTGTGTCCACCTCATTATTGCAAGGCTGCTGTCTCCATGGCACACCCAAGCGTGCAGCAAGACTTCCAGAAGAACCAGGTGGCTTTGGCATTGCACCAAGCTGCCCAGTCCAATGCCTTGTCTGAGAAGCAGATTGCTTTTTCCTTGCACCCAGCAGGATTATGGACCATAGCCAAAGTGACCAAGAAGGGTGCTCTGAAGTTAGTACCACTGGGGCACATCACCATGGTCATTGATGAGAGGCCAAACATGCTCACCATTGAGGCATTCTCCAAGAAGTGGCTGATCTCACCATGGAAGATGGATTCCATGTTTGAGAAGCCTGAGCATCCATTGCTGCCATTTTGGTGGGCCAAGACATCAAATGACATGGATGTGTGCAATTTGGAATGGCACCAAGTGGTAGTGAATCAGTGCAAGATTCCAATCCTGACCAACACAGGACCAGTGGAAGCCAATACTCAATTGATTTTCCCAAAGGATGCAGAGGAAGAGCAGGAGGATGAGGCTCCCACTGCAGCCAAGAAGAAAAAGAGGAAGACCACATGAGACTGTGAGTCCACAAAGACTACCAAGCTCCACAAGTTTCACTTCTCTTCGAGTGTCACCCAATTCAAGTGTATGAAAGCTGAGGCAACAAAAGCATAGCATGCGCTATACCAACAACATGTGCTATACCAGAAGCATAGCACTGAAAACAACATGTGCTAGACCAACAAAAGCCACTTTGGCATGTAGCATGTAACAAAGGCCACAATGGCTTACAGAATGCAACAAAGTCAATCCATGACAGGCCACAATTCCACAATCCCATATTTTCTTAAGGCTCAAGCCAAGCCACCAATCCCATAGTGCAGTTCACAGGCATTGCCATGGGCCAGCCACTGCCATGTTGCACTGGCAGAGACCGAGGAGCCCAAACTGAGACGCCAATAAATGTGCTATGGGTGAATCCCAACCCATGGGTGGACAACCCCCAATGGACCCAAC